GCCCCAGGGTCCCTTTGAATCACAGGTTTCGAATTAATGATGCAGAAGCTCTGCCTTTCAGTGTGAAAACCACAGATTCAGGCACTCAGTGTGATCTGGGTTCTAGTCCAGATTGTGAGATTCTTTGCTGAATCCACATTCTCTCGGTTCATCACTTATAAAGTGCAATTTCAAACAACTTTGGCCAGAAACTTTTGTCCAACTTCTGTCTCATTTGATTGGAAGATCTTAGCACTACTTGTGGGTTAGCAGTGAGTTGGCTTTTATCTCTCATCTGACACAAAGCTCTTTCAGACTCTCCCCACAGAAGCCAAAGGGCCACACACTTCTGAACCAGAGCTTGAAAGCCGTGATTTCACCCTTACTTTGTTTCTCTTTTATTTTTATTTTCCTTGTTGTCATTTTACCAAACTTTTTAAGCCCTTTTACCTTGAAAATCCTATTTTTTCCCAGCTCTACCTTTGATTCATGGTAGAGATCACTGGCTAGTCCAGATGCCATAGAAAAAGAGATGTGACTACTGGCTGTTCATCTGTCTGCTGTGTGGATTGGAGACAACTTAATATCTTTGTGGCTCAGTTTCTTCATCTACAAATACAGGGAATCAGCATTTACTAATCACTTTGTTTCTTTTTTAGGATGACTTAATGTTTGTGTATGTGTGTATAAATATTTAGCACTCTGAAACACACAGCAGTAGTTATTTAATTAGTGGAAGATGATATTATTATTATTAATTTACTGTTTATAGGTATATTCTATAACCCTGCGTATAAACTTTAGTTTTTCTGGACCATCTTTAGTTGTATATTGTGAAATATGATGGAAATTTGACAGCTTATGTGATTGTGACACTTATCTATGATATTTTTTTATCAGAATACCCTAAGGCTGAATTTCTCAACCTGTGGATCACGACCCCTTTGGGGGTTGAATGATTCTTTTACGGGGGTCACCTAAGACCATCAGAAAATACAAATATTTACAATTATAATGCTGTTTTTAAAAATCCCAGTTGTTAAATTTTATCAATAAAGAATCAGGAGCCAGATGCTGAGCAAGACAGAGAAAGCACTCAGCTGACCTTCCTACTCAGCAGACATCCCAGAAGGAACAAGCCTTTCCTAAGTAGTTCAAGTCCCAGAAGGAAAAGACCTTCCTATTCAGCTTAAGTTCCTTTTTTTTAAGTAGTGCTATATTTTCTTTTTTAAAATTTTTTATTGATTCCAATTTAGTCACTTTTAGTGTTCCTCCTTTCTACTTACTGTGCCACTCTATCTGTTCTTCAGACTTCTCACTCTCTGTTTTTTTTTTTCCCCATGCTCATTACCTATCAATCTGCCTCTTGACCTAAAGTGAACCTCATTTTAATCATGCTTACAGAAAGCTCTTGGATTAAAGGTGTGTGCTAGGGTTGACCCACACTACGACTAGAAACAGATTCAAAGGGATCAAATATCCTGCATATTTTTACTCATAACAGTGACAAAATTAAGGTTATGAGTAGCAACAAAAATAATTTTATGGTGGGGGGGCGGTCACCACAACCTGAGGAACTGTATGAAAGGGTCGCAGCATTAGGAAGGTTGAGAACTACTACCCTAAGGTAAAAGGTGATGCATGATGCATGCTTATAATTTTTTGATTCTTGTGATCACAAAACATTTTTTACAACTTAGATTTCTGACCCTTTCTGTGCATTTTAAAAATAACATTTTGAGTCATATGAATTTAGCATTTACTCAGAGTCCTTTTTAAGTCTAAGAAGATTGTACCTATGTCTTCTATGATCAATCAAAAGCACTTAATCCTAACCTGCAATATAAGATCTTTCCTATAGAAAACTGTGCCTATCTAGGACTTGCCTTAACTTTCTGTGGTATAGCCCTTTTACCACAGTTGTAGGTTAATGTTCCAGTTTGTAAAACCTGCATTAAAAATCACAGTCACGTGATATGTTTTTATCTGTTTAACAGATATTATTGCTTTATGAAACAGTCTTATATTAACTGAAATTGTAAATGACCCCATTAGCATTCCATTTTTTCATTTTCTTACAATGTATCAGTATGCTGTGTTGTGAGAGAAAGAGAGAGGGGCAGTGAAGTGAGCTGTCTCCCTGCAGCTCTTGGCATCAACTTGGCGTTAAGAAGCTCCTGGCTGCTAGCTGACCATACGACAGTGCAGGATGTGTTTCTTCTATGTTAGATTATAGTTCCAGACTCTAAGGAGGGGTGTGGGCTGATGTTCTTCCAGTTTAACTGAATGAGAAAAGGCACTCTCCAGAGTCGTTAGGACATCCAAGTTCTTAATAACCCTCTTTATCATCTATATTGCTTGTTACTGACTCAAAACCCTGAGAACTAAAATTAATATTAGTCTTAATACTGCTAAGACTAGACTCGGATTAAACTAAAACATTACGATTAACTCCCTGGTGGTATTATTCACCTTCCGATTTAATGGTTATCTTCTGGAGCTTCAGTATGCTGCAAACACCATGATAGGCTGCACGTGTACCCTGCCTGCTTTGTATAACCTAAGTAGTTCCTTTATTAACTAGTGTCATGCAGTTATCAAATCTAAAAATCAACTTCTAGCTCTTCATAAGTTATGTTCAGTTTACCATAACACTTCCTTAGTCATTGCTTCTAACTTCCTAAGGCAATTAAAACCATGGTTAAATTATGGTCACGGCTCAAAGGTTTGTAAATATTACTATGCACTCATTTTACTGAATCACATAATACATCACATAGTTTATTAAAAACATGTTATAAGTTGTTGAATTGTTATAGTATTTTTAAACTACTGAACATTCATCATTTGACAGCAACATCTTTGGCTATTAAGCATAAAGGCATTTTAATATTTATTTTGACCCAATATAAATGAAGACAATATTTAAAAATTTTTAATGTATTTCCTCAAAGTCTAATATTCATTGTGATAGGGTATATTTCTTACACCCATTTTAATTTCAAGTCACCAGACAAATTCTAAGTCAATAAACATGCCTGTGGCGAGAGGTGTCCCCAAATTAAATTCTGATTAAAACTTATCTCCTATGTTCTCCAGGTTGAACAAATATCCAATTTGTGATGTCTGAGGATGATGGAAAGTCTTTGTATTTGGAAAGAACTTTTTCTAATTTGTGACATTAATATTCCCTGCTAAGACCGTGAACTATTCTTTCATTTTTCTGGAGTGGAACTCACCGGTTCCTCACAATTCTTATAAAATGTGTTTATATACTTGAGGAAATTTCAAATTCTCTCTGCTCTTTTTAAGTCATGGCAAAGATTAAGCATCTCATTTGTTAGATTGGGGATACAGCTTTCATGTTGCTTTGTCAGTGGAAGTAGTTACAGAATTTTACAACTAATGGAATCTCCTGTACCGCTGGTGTGTTTAGGGACATGGAAACTAATCCCTTGAACTCTTCTTTATAAAGGCTATTCAGTTCTTATAGGAGGGATGTAATCCTTTCAGGAAATTAAAAAAAAATGACTTTGGTTAAAATAACAAAGTTCTTTAGTAATAAATTTAATACCTTTAATATTTTTTTAAGATTTTATTTATTTATTTTATGCTCTGTTTTCATGCACACCAGAAGAGGGAACCAGATCTCATTATAGATGGTTGTGAGCCACCATGTGGTTGCTGGGTATCAAACTCAGGACCTCTGGAAGAGCAGTCAGTGCTCTCAACCGCTGAGTAATCCCTCCAGTCCTAATATTTTTAAAAATTAAAAAAAAAGAAAGTTTTGACTTGATAGTTAAAATCAAACTTAATTTTAAAAAGAAAATGTAAAACCAATTGAAAAGAGTCTAAGAAGTGAATGTGAACAGTGATATGGTTCTAATGTGGCAATTCATTGCATTTATGAATAGGCAAAAAAGGTGAACGCAGAAACAATAAGGATGAGGGTAGAAAAAGAGCAGAAGACCTTTCTTGCCCATCACCCCATTCCAAGTTACTGTCATGGAGTGATTCCCAAAAAGTGACATTTATCTGAGAGGCCATGGTCTAGACAGGAAGTCTAGACTGCCATGGACCCCCCCATGGGTGGGCATGGGCTGATTACTCTGCAGGCAAAGACATTCTCTCTCTTTTCTTCACTGCACTTGAACCATCTACCCTTCCGTGTTCCCTCTGCTGCACCCGAACACACCTTTTTTTTCTTGTTCCAACACAGCAGCTATTAATTGTAATTAAGTGTCTAATGCTCTATAAAATTGTTTGTTTTTAGCATTTTTCCTGCAATAGCATAAGCATTAACAAACAGATACAATATGTTCACAAAAGAGCCCAAACATCTCTACTAAGAAGTTTGTCTAACGGACCACAATAATTATCGTTTATCTGCAGCCAGTTTTGCTTGAACCCAATCAATCACCTGACCATTGCATCTCTTTATCATCCTAACTCCCCATTTTCCCTTTATTTGTGGAATCAATTAGCAGTGCTAATTAATTAGAAGCTTATTAAATGAAATGCATGCACATATGAGGTAATGTTTCATATTTGTAGTTTTATGCGTCACATATCTCATATACATCCAATTTACATAACAGTGTATTTTTTACCATATTTCAACGTAACTAAAATCTAATTTCTTAGAATTTATCTTCATAATTTTCATGTAAGATTTCATATCTTAAGAATATAATTTGAGGTAATATTTTATCCAAGATGAAGATATAATTTCTTTTTAGGCTAGAGAATTAGGTTTTTGTAGCATTGATAAAACTGTAACACAAATATCATGTTTATGGTTTTACTGTGGTTTACTATATATCTATATCTATCTCCTTTTTTGTTGTTGTTTGTTTTGTTTTTCGGGACAGGGCTTCTCTGTGTAGTCTTGGCTGTCCTAGACTTGCTTTGTAGACCAGGCTGGCCTCAAACTCACAGAAATCCACCTGCCTCTGACTGCCTGAGTGCTGGGATCAAAGGAGGGCATGGCTTATGTCTATTTCTTTTGTGATGTTTTCAAGGGGCACATAATAGCATCCTGCGATGCCCGCGGAGTTATAAAGCTGTGGGACTTCCGGAATCTCATTCCCATTGTGTCCATTGATGTGGGTCCAAGTACCGGCAATGAAGTGAACTTTGACTCAACAGGTAGGATCCGTTATTCTCTCACTCTTGTCACCAAACTAACATTAATATTTTTATCTGAGATGCCTTTTTTTCTCTTAAAGTTTTTTGGTAATACTTTGAATGTAATTTTCTGTTTTGAAAACAGGAACCATAGCAGCTATGGTATTTCTCAAAATCATGAATCTTATTATGAAAGAAATACAATCACACAGGGAAATTCTGAACAAAGGGAAGTGATATTAATGTAGCCACACGATAAGCTTGCTTACAGCATCAGAAGTCCCTTTCCAGCTCACATCCCAGAGACTCCTAGCCCAGGTTAAGCCAACGGGGCTTTCTGTAACACCAGCAACTGAGAGGAGAAGGACAAAAACTGCATTGAGATGAATTTGAAGCATTTTAATGAAATAGGTTAATTATAAGAAAATTAATAAATTGCTCAGAAATGCTCTAGAATTTATGTACATATTCATCTATTATTGTAGTTAAGTGTTTTATGCTCTATGAAAATTTTTATAGCATTTCCTCACAAATAATGTAAGAATTATCAAGCAGATGAAATATTTTCTCCCTACTGATGATGAAAAGAGTGGATTCCGCTGTGAAGAGAAATGATTCCAATTGTCCACTTAGGAGATTAAAGTACTGCTGCATCTCCGTCTTTAATGACAGACTCTGGTAAATGAGGAAAGGACAGTACATCTTCCCCTTGATAGAGTTATGTATATTTAAGGTTTTTGAAATTTTGAGAATTTCTCCAAGGCTTTGAGTTATTTGTGATATATTAAAATCTCAATATGACAAAACTTCAGTTGTAAAGGAGGAAATAAATGTATAAGAAGAAAAGATGATGCTTTATTTAAAAAAAAAAAAAACATAGTTCATACTAATTCTCTGGTCCAGAAGCAGAAATATACCAAGAGCAATTCTCGAGTCATAAGACAATAGCTGTGTGTTTCTTGGAACTGGTTTGTTTTATGTTATTACTATTAAACATCTGAAAGTGTAAATGGTAAGTTATCTTCTTGAAGTATGTTGCATTTTCATTACATATGAACATATACATGATATTGTAAACAACGAATTTTTAGTTACTGGGTGTGGTGGAAAAAGCCTGTGATACTTACAACTTAGAAGTAGGAAGGTCCTGAGTTTAAGTGAAATTTTCCAAAAGAAAAGAAAGACTTTTAGTAATATTCGTGACATTATGACATTTATGGTCTGCCAGAACTGAAAGATGAGGCACTAGGCAGAATAAAAGATTACAAATATCAGTTGGAATTTCATTCCGTACTGTTACATGTGAGTATTAATATTTCAGCATAGTGCTCTGACACGTGTATCTGCACTGGAATCAGATCTCCACAGGAGTTTCTACTAAGGTATAACAGACAAGTGACACCCCTAAACCCATCTTCATTATCTTGAATGGGCATTTAACTACTTGTGTCTTTGAATGTGGAACTTGGAATGGTAAAACCTAAGCCTGTACATTCTAATAACAGAAGTTAAGGGCTTTTAAAAAACTATTGCACAATCAAAAAAAAAGCTTTATGTTTAATTGTCATTATTACATGTGTTGCTGCTGACTTTCTATTGACCTTTGCTTTCCAGTTGGAAAGTTCTTTGAACAGCCAGGCAAACATCATTTTAAATAAATATCAGCATCTATCTTCTGGTGCCCCAATCAATATATTAGAGTCCAGCTACTTTTTTCCCCATGATCACCAAACAACTGATCATAGACCAATGCTAAGTATAGAGAATCAATGGTAAAATGATGAGAAACATAAAAGACACAAACTGCAAACCAGAGACCCTGTTATCAGGACGAGGCAACATAATTTCAGTCTGACCTTCCCATCCTTTGACCATTTTTTTTCAAAGAACACATAATTAATTTTAATTCAACATGCTTGAGAAGTTACTGTCATAAGGTTTTTCTCATTGAATAATTAGGAACCTGAGCTTCTGTACAGGCATCTTCAATGACACTTTTTAAAAGGTTAAAATATATACCAAAGTTGGATAAATTAAGGGGACTCTGAGACTGAATTAGAACATGAGTAGAAAGATAAAAAAAACACAAAGTACAGTACTGGGAATTTTGTTCTTCTAAGGAGAGTAAAGAAGAATGCAGATCTGGAGATGACCAAAATCATAACAAGGATAAGTGACTTTTACATCTTTGCTACTTGCTATTTATTTGGAATAAAATATTCAGTAAAGAAATGTAGCAGAATTGCATTATGAAAATATCTGAAATATAATGATAAAATCAAGTCTGACTTAATAGAGCCAAAATGTGTATTCATCTGAACATGACGAATTTCTGTTTATTCACAGGGCAAGCTATTGCAAGCTTCTATGGTATAATGATTCCAAAAGAGCAAAATAATATTGACCTTGCTAAAAATAAAATACATTTATGGAAAGCACATGTTGAGTTTTGCCAAGCCACATTTCCTGCTCAAAATTTGTGACAATATTAACCAAGGCGTTATTCATCACAACTTCATTAATGAAGCCCTGGTAGAGGCAAAAGTCTTCCAACTGCCTCAACTGTGCTCTGGGCCTAAGGGAAAGTCATTGTCAATTCACATGAACTGCCTTGGTATTATGTGGTACGTGTGAATATCTGGATAACATCTTGGCTAAGTTTTTCGAACAAGAAATGTGTTGCTGTTACATATTCTAAGTGGTCATCATGTATCTGGATCAGTCTCATAGCAGGGCATCTAGAGAAAGGGTCTGTGCTACCGTCTCTATAAACTAGGAGTGATTTTTGTAGATACTGGCTTTCTAGTGACTGAAAATCTAACACAATGTAAGATTCTTTATCTGTTTTATGATTGATACCGTTTTTCTAATATGTAGCTTTTATAAATAAGTTTATACCCCAGAAGTATAGGTGCAGTTCATACTGTTAGATTTAATAACATCTTCTGCATTCTTTAGACCTGACAGAAATTGTTTAGTCGCCCTAACTAACTTTCTTCCTGGAAATAATAGAGTAGATGGTTGTCTTAGTGTTTAGTGGAGATTCAAAGGGATAATGGTATCCTGCAAGAAGGAAATCTGAATTCTATCTTCTACCATGCATCTTAAAGCTACAGGGAATCTAAGAAATCATTGTTTTCACCTTAGGAATAATAAAAGTGAGTCAATTTGTGGGTGGATATCCACCCACAGCTTGTACCAGTCAATGGAATAAAGACGCAAGGCTAGACCCTCATTCTTATATGATATTGAGGGCATGTTGATGTGGCTAACTAAGAATGCCTTATGATTTACAAAATGTTCATATATGTTTAAACATTTGCCCCTGTGTAAATCATGTGTGTGGCTTTGCTTTTCCACTGCAGAATCAGCCACTAGCACATTTGATAAAAGAACTGTGTGTGGCATCGCATTATTTACATAATATTTTATTTACAAGTACATTGCCTGTGACAAATACAGATTATCTGTGTTTATAGGTGCATCCATATCTTAGTATAAACTTATAACTGTATTTGTGAGAGGATAAATGTTCCTTTCTCATTAAGCAAAGAGCTTCCCAGGAATATGAAACAACACGTTTTTGTGAATATTCACTATCTAAATAATATCTCTCACTTGGCATATTTAAAATGTCATATTTTTTTTCATTCAAACTTATCCCTGTTTCAGAAAACGTTAGATGCTGTTGCATGGTGAAAGCAATACAAGCAAACTGAAAAGATTTATACATATCCCTTTCCACATCTCTCATTTCACTGTTTACATACGTCAGCAATATTTTTTGCTCCTTTGAAGAAGGTAATTCCAGTGCATTTGTAATGAAGTCACATCTCTAGAAAATGCAGAGGCAGAAATCTGAGCCAGATGGAGGCTCTTCTGTAGAAAGCCTGTGGGTATCAGATCATTCAAACGGGCAAAGTTTCCCAGCCTTTGGAGAAAATCCCAAATGTTCCTCATGAGCAGAACCAGGCCTAAAACACTAAAATGAGAGACCAAAAGGAAACAAACAAACAAACAAACAAACAAACACAAACATTTTTTTCTCTTGAAAAAGATGAAAAGTAACAGATTCTCCTCACCCTAATTTTTCAAAGCAAACTATTCCCCAAAATCTTTGGCTTAAATTGATTAGTGTCAGTTAATAAAGGCTACAATGCATCATTCTATATTTAAAAGTCAGTTTCTAGTTGGGTGGGCAGTGTGGCCGCACACCTTTGATCCCAGCATTTGGGAGGCAGAGGAGGCAGATCTCTGAGTTCAAGGCCAGCCTGGTCTAGATAGCGAGCTCCAGGACAGCCAGGACTACACAGAAAAACCATGTCTCAAAAAACCAAACAAATAAGCCAGCGCAAACTGTAATCCCAGCATTTAGGAAGCAGGGGCAAGTGGATCTCTTTGAGTTTGAGTCCAGGACAGTCCAGTGAGTCCAGGACAACAAAGGCTACACAGAGACAGCCTGTCTCAAAAAACCAAAACCCCAAAACAACAACAAACAAACAAATAAAGTCAATTTCTGTTTAAATCTCTCTGATGGAGCACACATGAGGAAAAAAATTACTACTAGTGTGCAAGCCAGGGTTTGTTTGTTTGTTTGTTTGTTTTTCTCTAATATTTAATGGCTGAATGATTTGGGTAGAATTTCTAAATATTTCTAAACTTCACATATGCAATGTCAGAAATGTATATGATCTTCCACTCCAGGCATGAGTAGATACCAGGGACTGGCCAGAGAGAATTCCAAACAGTGGGAGGATGGAGGGATGGAGGGTGGGGAATAGTAGGAAAAAAAATTGTTGAAGCAATAGCAGTTGTCAAACACTGAATGGTGAGCAATTCAAAAAGGTAATATACAACAATGGTTCCTGAGACAGGATAAATCAGGCAAGTCACATGACAGACCCCAGGGTACTGCCCAGATTCAGTTACTATATCTTACCCCAGGGATGGACAGACTGACAGGACAGAGCACAGAAGGGTGAGGGCAGGACAGAGAGACACACAGAGGTTCTTCCACCCCA